CTCAGACCAAAGAGGAGAAGAAAAAAAATCCCCCAGGAACCCTCAAAACACTCCTTACTCTGGACCGGGAACCCCCCCCACCCCCCCACCCCTCTCGTTCCTTATCCTTCACACACACACACACACACACATCGAGCATGGAGGCTCAACCCCTCACAACCTCCAGCAAATCCCCTTTATCTTTTCCCAGCCAGATGGGGCCGCTGGAATAATAGCCGAAGCCCAATGAGTTCCATTCAATTTGTCATGCCGTCTAAAGGAGCTTGTAAGCTTCCCATTTGCAGTTATGTTATAGTAACCATGGGAGGCTCTGCAGTGTTAGGACTTAATTACCTCCTAATAGCTGTTGTAGAGATAAAGCCCCAGGCCAGCATAACCTAACACTGTCCAGCCCCTTTAGACACAGAGGCCTGAAGACTCCCTCGATCCGTTGCCGGGAGGAACCACATCATGTGTCAGGTGGCCAGCGGCCTGCCTACATTAGGACCTCTTCACTCCACATGCACTTGTACAGATCTGCAGAGGTAGCAGATCAGACACCAGGTTGATCAGATTGTTGCTGTCAGAGACTTTGGATGAACATCCCTAGTGATATCTGGTTTGGTAGAGCTGTAACTAACTAATATATCTCAAGGATTTTGTAAGAATTATTTTAACCACCAAGCTTTCTGTTGGTCAGTGAACAACTTTGGTCCAGACAGAATTATCTTAACAATTATTGGATGGATGCTTGTTAAATGTCGTACAGACATTGATGGACCTCATATGATAAAACCTACTTACTTTGGGGAACCTAAGACTCCTCCTCTAGCGCCACCACGAGGTTCATGTTTGCGGTTTTGGGTGAAATGTAAATGGTTTGCCAGAAAATTTTGTAGAGACATTCATGGTCCCCTCATGATGGATTGTAATAACTGTGGTGATCCCTTAACGTTCCCCCTAGTGCCATCATCAGATCAAAATGTAATAACTTTTTAGGGCGAAACCAGTTCTGGATCGGCCAAGTCCTTCAAATGACCTCAATCCAGTTGGTCGTGTTGTTCACTATATGAAGACCAGACAGAGGGCAAGAGGCCCGAAATAAACAGAACTGAATTTCTTTTCTGTGCACTTTTTTATTTTTTGCACTTTTACATATCCTCTCTTTAGAACCTTTCCTCTTCATATTGTGGGGGTTCTCTGTGTCTTATATTTCAACTTGAAATCTAAGGCATCTGAGTTATTTGAATTTGTGGACTTAAAAAAAATAAATAAAGACAAGCATGCATTGTGACGTAGCAAAACTCTTTCTGTTTCTCCCACAAATGATATGCTCGTTCGACTAGTTTGCATTTTCAAAATATGTTTTGTGGAAAACATATTGCCTTTTTTCTTCTTTTTTCTTCTTCAAAGGAGCAACACTTCCTGTGCTGGCACTTAACTTTGCCATTTAATGTACAGTGAATCACTTGTGCAGGAGAGCCGCATGTGAGTCTAACCGGGACACAGCATTACACACACAGTAACAGCAGTGGTGGTGGCAGGCAGCATCTCACGTTCCTCACCACAGATTTCAACAAAAGCGAGAATTTTGCTTCATTTCGTTCCAAGATTTGGCAGAGAAAGGGATGGAGGGGGAGAGCCAGGACATTATTCACGTCTTTCAGTTCATTTGGCCTCAGCCGGTCAGCTCCTCAGACAGAAAGAGAAACCTTCTCTCGTGTTTTTTCCACCCTCTTCTCTTTTCTGCTTCTTTTTTTTTGTTTCCTTTCTTTTTTTATTTTGGAGCCAGATTAGCAGGATTAAGTATGGCTCACATATGCTCCTCCTCACTATTGGTATTCACCACGGCACCGGGCCTACCGCCACCCAGACTCATGGACAGAGAGAGAGAAAGAGGGAGAGAGGGAGAGGATGGTGGTGAGGAGTGTAGTTGGTAAGAGTCAAAGTTGGAACAGGAAATGTTACAAAAAAACCTCTCCACAAACCTTACACTGTTGTATTTTTTTTTTTACCCATTTTGGTTAGTTCCAATTAAACTCTAATATTACAGCAAACAATATTTTCACAACACTGCTTCAAACAATCTTTGTCTGGCTCTTTTCTGTTTCAGCACGTCAATGCCGAGCCAGGTCCGGTAAGAAACGGTTCTCCCAGTCTGGTGTGGAGGAACTTGACTGGTCTGCACTGAGAGCCAGGCCCAACCACCAACACCAGTGGTCTCTTGTGGCTGAATGGGAGCAAATCCCGGCAGCGATGGTTTCAGAATGTGGAGGAAAGCCTGAAACCAGAAGAAGAAAAACTGTTTAAGCAGCAGAATAACGCTCCTAGTGTCATTCATTCCTTATAACACATGGGTGTAACTGTTAAAATAACATTATCGAAATTACTTTTAGGCTGGAAATACTCGACAAATTACACACTGATTTAGTACGATATAACTGAAGGCTCTCTGCTTTTTTATTATTCCCCATATTGTATTTTATTTATTTATTTAATTGTTTATGTCCAGAGCAGAGTTGTTGTCTAGCAATCTAGGAGATCATTTTGACCGAACGTGTTTTATACTGCTTGCTTGATGGAGGGATGTAATGCACTTTCTTTAGCGTGTGAGACATACAGAAAATTTGGTTTTCTCTGATCCACATCAGTAAGAAAAATAAAAGAGCAAAAGGTGGAGCACAAAGGCATTCATCTTTCAATTTTAACATCAGCTGTCAACTGATCGCTTCTTTGAATTTTGGAATTCAAATATCACCGTTTTCTGGAAATTTGAGGAAATTCCCCCAAAAATGGCCGTTTGTGTTATAATACAATGGGTAAAAGTAAGTCTGCATAAATTATGGTTATCACAGGTTCATTTCACAACCTAGAGTTTCTCAACCTTGGTTTGGGACCCTAATGTGGGCTTACAGGACATTTATAAAGCAGCATACTTATATAAATTTGACAGGTTTACAGAAGAATTAAGATGAATAATATTTAATTTTGGAGTTCTTTTCAGGCTTTAAAGGCCATATGTGCCATTAAAGGTTGAGAAAGTCTTTGTTTAAGATTAGTAGATGAATAGATATTTCTGAAACACCCTGTGAGGGTTCAGACTAATAGAAGGCCTCCATAATTCCTGATAGATGTCAATCATTTAACAAACTATAGACTTATAAAACATTGGTTTATAACAACATGTGAAAGGAGCCCAAATTGAACAGGAGAGCGAGCCTGCTAGTCTGTGTCTCATTGTGAATCCAGTGCAACAGTGAGACTGTGGGAATGTCTAATGAAGCAAGAGGTGGCACAGATACAAACCTCCTGATTTAAAACGCCACTTACACCGCCTTCATTACCATAATCTTATTTCACGGGAGTAAACACGCGAACGCAATGGACTGGGGAAACAAGCAGATATAACTGTGAGAAAAAAGGGCGAGGAGGGGTGTGTGTGTGTGTGCGTGCGTGCGTTAACGACCTTGATTTTGTGACATCATTGGTGGACCGATGTGACACCTGACTCACGGTTACGGAAAGATTTTCGTTTGTGATTGGCTGGCAGGTGCCCGTTGAAATATAATGAGAGCCCCAACTCAAACATTAGTTCCGGTCAACTGTTCTAAATGAGTGCACAAGATCACACAACGGCACAAAGTCTCAATTCAGGAAACTACCAGGACCTAAAACTGACCACAGACTGACAGACAGACAGATACAGACACGGATACAGACATATACTAACAGACAGATAGAATATTTTAACTTTAAAAAATAAAATAAAAAAAATGTAATAGGCCTATGTGTAAAATATAAACTAATTTAAAAAAAACATAGGCCGGAGTTAATATATATATTTTTGTATGGTTTCATTTGGATTTCTTTGTGTTTTCAAATAGAAAATCGGACATTTTCTGAAAACAAACTCAAATTATTCAAAATGTAATCCCACGGTTTAAATCCATCCTATAGAGAATAAGCCATTAATTTAACTTTATTCAAATTTGTTTTTATATTTTTATTTTTGATCAATATTCGAATACAGAGAGGACATCCCGAGCGCAGTCCTGTGAAAACAGATACACTCGTCGAGGCAATTAGCGCTGATCGCGTCTGACCTCACAGCACAGCTCATATTTGGGGACAATGCCGCTGTCAGTTTGAGTTACGTCCGAGGGCAAATCACCGGTTTGGGCCCTTATGTCTGCCGGAGGCCGCCTGAGCGCCAGCAGCAGGCCACACCGCTATCGCTCACTGTGGACTAATTGAAACGTTACGGATCATAACCGTCAGACACAATTTTGCACACTTCATTAATTAACGTTAAAGATGCACTTTAACGGCAGCTGCTGCGACAGCGGGTAACAACGGCAAAACAGCACATTAACACCAAAACTGCAAACAGGAAACATATTGTGCTGTTGGGCTTTGACCCCGTTATTACTGTTCATTTGGAGAGGCGGCGTGGTGTTATGGTGGTAGAAAAACAAAACAAAAAATAAGAGCTGAAGAACGAATTTTCGATCAAAAATATCGTGTAGATTTATAATTTAAAAAAAGTAGGATATCAAATATAAAAAAAACATGTTTTTTCTACAAAAGTTTTCTTTTTTTAAGTCACAGTTTCAATACAAAACGAAATAAATCCAATTAATGTAAATGGTTTTTAAAAAAGAGGACTGAATTATTTTGTTACCGTTTCCGGATACTGGATAATACAGACACATTACTATTCACTTCTAACAGGCAAAAACATCTGTGTTAGCCTAATACAATAAAAATCCTTCCACACGCGGGCCAGCATTTTCACAAGAAGGAGCCATATGTAGGAGGGAGTGTGTCTGATTTCACTTAATGCTGTGTGTTGGTATAATTACATCAGGCTGGAGGACCCTCCTCCCCCCCCCACACACACACACACTCCTACTCCTCCTCCCTGCACGGAGCTGATTGGTGGCATGGAGGCAGTTGGGACAGCAACTGCGTTGTCCTGGTGACTCGGCCTCTGTGCAGCTCCAGCCCCGGCTATAAAACCCGGCGGTCGCACGCAGGCGTGCCAAATGGGCTGTCAGATGCAATTTCGGAGTAACAAGTGGATTTGATGTTTATAGGTTTTCTCATCCTTCGCGCTTGGAAAACACTCGTGGTACGTGTTTGATTATTTGTTGTTTTAGACATGATGAGAATATTTGTGTATTTCCTTCTGCTTTACTTACGTCGAGGCAGATGCAAGTAGAGACACAGCGTGGGAAAGAGATGGACACTCACTGATTTTTTTTTTATTCTCATGTGATGATCAAATATCAATACCAAGATTTAAAAAAAAAAAAAGTCAAGCAACGAAGTGTATGTTTAAATATTAGGATTCAGGATACATTTCCGCTTTAAAGCTATGCCAATTTATACAAGAATATGATTTTGTTTTCATATCCCACTTCTACTTGTCAATACCAACAGTCGCTGTGAAAAGTTAATATTATCTTGTGTACTGATCCTACTGCTGGCATGAGATGTGGATTTTTGCGGTTCAGTAAATTAACTAGAACACTTTTCTCTCTTCAGCTCACCGTGCTGGACATAGACCATGGACTCAGATACAAGCCGCGTGTCGAGCAGACCCTCATCTCCAGAGGTGGACGACATCTTCCTGGCCACCCTGAAGAAATCGGTGCACAGCTATTCCAGCGCCGTGACCTCCACACAGTGCGACCATCTGTCAGAGCTCCACGGCCTGCGCACCCTCACCGCGGAAGACGAGGAGTCCCTCGCCCTCCGGCTGGCCAAGAAGGACCACAAGCTGCTGTCTGAGAACGAGCTGCAGACCATCCGCCTCAAGATCAACAGCCGCGAGAGGAAAAGGATGCACGACCTCAACGTGGCCATGGATGGGCTCAGGGAGGTCATGCCCTACGCCCACGGGCCGTCGGTGCGGAAGCTCTCCAAAATCGCCACCCTGCTGCTAGCGAGAAACTACATCCTGATGCTGAGCAACTCGCTGGAGGAGATGAAGCGTCTGGTGAGCGAGATCTACGGTAGCGGGGCGCACCACGGCGGCTTCCACCCGGCGGCCTGCGGGACTATGACGCACGCAGGGCCCGTGCCGGGACACCCGGTGGTTTCCCACGCCTCGCACCCGGCGGTGCACCACCCGCTCCTGCCGCCGGCCGTCTCCACCGCTTCCCTGTCCGCGCCCGGCATATCCGCCGTCACCTCAGTCAGATCCCACCATGGACTCCTCAAAGCGCCCGGAGCCGGCGCGGGCCCGCTGGGCAGCAGTTTCCACCACTGGGGCGTTGGCACCGGGATGCCCTGCCCGTGCAGCATGTGCCAAGTCCCGCCTCCGCATGTGACCAGCATGAGCGCCGTCCCCATGCCGAGGCTGACCAGCGACTCCAAGTGACTTCAGACTTAAAAGTGGAGACGAACTTGTTTTGGGGTTGTTACTGACTCTCTCCTCCCCACATTATTACTCTTTTTTTATTTATCTCTGTCGCTGAATCCGATGCGTCGACGGAGCCAGTAAAGAATCCATCGGGTTTTCCTCACTGGGACTTTGGGGTTTTGCAACTAACTTAGCGTTTTATGGTCATTAACCTCAATTGTAACAGGTGTGTCTTCAGAGCCCCTTTATTACTGGACATCTTTGACGGCCCGGGCATGTGTGTGTGTCTCTGCAGTTATTTAAAGATCAAATTGATTTTTTTCTTCTGTGGGCCTGGGGGTGGGGGGTCACAAATCCAACCACAAATATAGAGTGTAAATATGTAGATGGATTATTCATATATTAGAGTCTTGTTACTGTGCAGGAAGACTCTCCAGCCCCTCATATGTTGCACCGGCTTTATTTTATCCGTCTTATTCAACGCTTTTCTCTTTATTCTCTCCCTGTCATTCTCTGTCCCGACGCGAACAATGACCACTTGTTTATTTTTTTATTAAAAAAAAAAAGAAAAATATGAAAATTATATTTATTTACTTGTTTTGGACGGAAATTTCAAATGAATCTCTGATCGTATTGAGTTTTTGAAATGTAAAATAAAGATGATTAATTGAAAAGTGAAAAAGGTCTTTGGTGATGTTTTGTTTGTTTGTTTAAAAAACATCTGTAGTTTACACAATAGAGGGAGAAACATGTCTAACTGAGCTTTACAACGGCACTGATACATCCAACAGGCCAACAATCGCTGAAACACTGAACACCAACAGTATTTAACAGACACTTCAACGCACAACTCTTTTTTTGTACTCTCTAAGTCAGACATTTGATTTACTTTAGGCTTTTAAAAAGAGAAACAAATTCACAATTTTACCTGAAATTGACCTTTTATCATAATTACTATAATTTTGAAGTACTTATTACTCTATTGTTAAACTTATTATTAAAAAATATATAGGCGATAGAGGAACAATTTAACAGTTAAGCAATGACATATCCTTTACATTGGCATCCATTAAGCTTTGCTCACCATATAATCAAATTTGAAACAGCTTTATTTCAGGATTCTGAGCTGATTGAGACCATTTTGTGATTTTGAGCTTTATAAATAAAGTTGTCTTCTTTGACTTCATAAAAACTCATTCTAACTGTGTTTGTGTAGTTCAAAAATTCAGACAGAAACAAAAAATTGAAAAATATATCCACAGGTTACAGAATCATTTGACTTTTCCATAACTTTAATCATAACCTCTTTATTAGTCCACCTAATAAAAACAGATTTATTTAATTTTCAAAGAAAGAATTGAGTTGGAAAATGTACATTGTTATTTTAAAATTGTTTTTCATAATCTTAATATTTTCAGCTTTTGTGCCCTCATGAAACAAGCTTGTATACCTCGTCTCTCCTTCTGGATGGATCACAACAAAGTTGATCAGCATCGTTTCAAACACAAACCAATGACTTGGCCATACGTACACCTGCAGAACGCATCTGCAATGCGCCAAAAGATTGATATCTTACCCATTTGGTAACCTGTGTGACGAGAGGACGAAAAAAAAAAAACGCATTTGGAATCGTGCAGCTTTGCAAAATAAAAGCACGTAAACAGCCGCTAAGAACGCGCACAAAAACGTCAGTGATGAGTAGAGGCCGGTGCACTTTAGGATAAAGGCAGCAGCTGCATAGCAGATTGCGCATGCTGTTGCAATGTTTTCCAAAGGCTTTTGAAGACGGAACGATATGAACTAAATCTTTGAATATTCATTCACGCATTTGTTTATTCATCTCATTACTGGGATTGAATTATTCAAAGTCCTTCAGCTTCTTGTAGGACGTTTCAGAGAGGGAGAGGTCATTTGGTGCAATATGGCAAAAAGAAACAGCTTTTTTACAGATAGGGACAAAACTCTCAGCATGTGGATACTTCCTTTCCCCCCAAATTCATCTTTTACATGTTGAGTTCATCTGAACAGCACACAAAACAGTATCCTCTCTGACATCTTCCTCTCCTGCAGAGTCAGATGGATCCATATTATGGTGACACACTAAACAGGTCAACAACCACAAAAAAAGAGCAATTTACGTGGCTATTTCATTCATTTGTTCTAGATGTGACTGAGATCCTGTAGAGGAATGCTGTTGAGTTGTGTTAGAGACTCTAGGGCTAAAAGAAGATAAATGCTTAAACAGTTGTGATGATGGAGGCTCACATCAGTTAATTAGTTCACTCATTCAAAAACGTTCACCTTTTTTTGGTCAAAGAGGCCATTGGTCTAATTGGCTGAAAATACTTTGCCAAGAGTGCCATTGAGGTTCGGTTCTCGTAAAAAACAGAAATATATTTAAAAATGTATATCAGTTTTATCTTGGTTTAAAAAAGAGCCTAAAATGCTCACTTAATTCAATTTTAACCTCTGCACAGGTTGAAGCAAAGTGAAAAAGGTTTGTGCTTGTGTCAATGACAGCAATAGTCCTGTGGTCTATTAAACATTTCCTTTATTTCACACTTTATATATGTGATAAATTGATCCTTTTTGTGAATCTGAAGTGCCTCTTCAAGTGTTTTGTCACGTCAGTGTGGTAATTAGTTCCTATGATAACTCAGTGTACTAATACTATTAAAATTGCCACAAAGTTGATGGGAGAGTGAAGCCCCTTTCCCACTGGACAAAAAAACAACTAACACCCACAAACATCTGGCTTTTATCTTCAGTGGGAAAGGTCACAATCAGTGTTCACTACTGGAACATGTGACTTTGCAGTATTCACAAACATTTATCGGCTCCAACTCCAATTGGCAGTGATGGAAACATGACACCCGAGTGGAGGCGCTAATCTTCGCCCCATTTCCGGTGCAATGCTACACTGTTTACCAATTGCTGTTAATTTACAGCCAATTTCTAACAGTAATCTACTGTATTAATGTAATACGGTTTTGTACTGTAGTCTGCAATGCATTGTGGGCTGGCCCATTTGAAGCAACTGCACAGAGGCCCTAAAGAGTATCCTAATGTTTTAAATTACAGTACACTACAGTATTTTTTGGAAATCTGCAGTTTTTCCAGAGGAGGACTGACTTCAGAGGACATGTGCTACACATCAACAAGACGTCCTGCTTCATCTGCATCAATCCAGTTGTGTCTCTACAAATTAGACGGTAATTGAAAACAATATTATTTTCCTCTCAGTATGTTATTCATACAGGTAACGTAGCATTACTGAAAATAAGGTTTGAAATCAAACTGATGCTCTGCAAGCTGTCTAGCTAGCCAGTCTATGATTCTAAAATGTCACTTATCA